TGACTACTTTTCCTGGCATGCTGGTGGCTATTCACGGGCTGACCACCCACTCTGGGCCTCCTTACCCCGCAGATGACCAAGGAGTCTGGAAATTCTTTGCTCCATTCCCAGGCTCCTAGCTCCCCTTCTACCTTCTATTTCTCTGAGTCAGTTATTCAACCAGTATTTGTCAAGTACCTACTATGTGCCGGGCACTGTCCCAGGTGCTGATGGGACAATAGACAATTATTTTTGCCCTGTGGAGCTTGCTTTTTCATGAGAGAAGATGAGTGAGCCATGGAATATGTTAGAAGGCTGTAAGGCCATGGAGAGGGGATAAAGTCAAGGTGAGGGAATGGGGAGTGCCAGGAGTAGGGCTGTGGCTGTGGGGGCTTGTTATGTACCAAACTCTGTTTTCAAATAGTGACTAATTGCTGGCGAGGCAGAGAGATGGAGGTGCCCTCTGCCAGTAGGCAAGGGACCTTGGCTTCCCCAACTAGCCCCTGGGAGTTAACCCAAAGGCTGTAGGTTCCTGGTCCTGGCTTGGTTAAAGCCTCACTGGGTGATTTTCTACCACGTATATCACTCATTGACTGGGGCCTCATTGATTCATACCGCAACTATTTATTGTGGGCCTACTATGTGCTAGGCACTGTGCTAGCTGTGGGGGTACAGAAGGAGCAAAGTCAACTTGGCTCTTGCCCTCATGGAGCCTGCAATCCAGTGGGGAGCAGATATCAATTAAATAGCCATACAAATGCAGTCAGAATGACAACTGTAGTCAGTGCAAAGGAAGAATGTGATGTCCTGAGAGTATATACGTAGCATTTGACCAGCCAGGGAAGCTGAAGGGCTTCCCCAAGGTGGCAATGCCCACGCTGAAACCTGAGGGAGTGGAAGAACAATACAGGCAGAGAAAACAGCATATGCAAAGGCCCTGTGCTGGAAGTGAGCATGTACAAGGGGGCTTTGAGAAGGCAGCTGTGGCCGGAGTGCATAGAGCAAAGGAAATGACTAAAACGAGAGGTGAGCAGAGAGAGACCATGCAGGGTCTGCTGGGTCATGTTTAAAACCTGGATCTAAGAGCAGAGGCAGACACAGCATTTGTGTTGGAGGCAAGATAACAGGACCATCTCAGGTTGCCTGCAGATTGAGGGTAACACTAGTGGAGGCAGGGAAACCTGTTAGGAGGTGACAGCAGTGCTCCAGAGAGAGGTGATGCTGGCTTGAACTAGGAGTTGGCAGGGAATAAGCAAGGTGAGGATGATGGTGTCAAGGATGACTCCTGGATTCTTGCCTGCAGGGTTTTCTACCTGTAAAGAAGAAAAAAGCAGCTCTATTTTCTGCAGGCAATAAGTTAATTAATGGAGACAAATCTTCTTCTCCTGCGGAAGGCACTGAACTATAATAATAACATAAGAATACTTCCCCCAACCAGATAGTTATAGCTTGGATCTACCCCAAATCCTCAGGCTATTCAGACTCCTACAGAACCTGGAAGGTAAGATGACACACACCCCAAGCTGCAGTGAGCATGATTTAGATTAGACCGCTTGCTAACAGGGCTAGAGGAATAGTGTTGGTGAGAACTGGGGGCAGGGGATGAAAGAGGATCCAGGTCGAGGGCCAGTGCCAGGAGCATGGAAGAGAGGCTGTGAACACCCGTGGAGCAGTCAGAATCTGGTGGAGATAAAGGGACGGTCTCTGAAGCTGGCACTGCCCCAGGACACAGGAGAGCCCAGCTGGAAGAAGCTTCAGTTTCCACACTCTGTACCTGCAAAGGGGAGGCTCTCAGAAATCGCTGCAGTGTTGTGGCCTTAGCCCACCTCCTGGGGCTCCTGTTTGACGGAGGAGACAGAGCACACCCAGGGCACAGAGACACGGAGGGTGTGGGTACAGGAGCTGGGCAGACACACAGGAAACACTCTGGTTGGGTGGAGGTCTGAGAAGTCTTTCCGGAGGAGGAGTGTGGGGAGGACAGAGGCACCCAGAAGGGATTTGGGAATGCCGGATTTACTAGTTTTCTCTGGCCCAGCTTGGATGTGCTCTTTAAGGTGGCAGTGCTGTGGGTGTTGGGTGATATCGCCCCCCTGCCATGCAGCACCTCCCCCCAGGATCCCACCTTGCCATCAGTTTCCAGGCTCCAGTACAATGACAGTGGGCTCCTTGTGCTGCCCCTTCGTGACCCTTTCCTCCTCTCCCACTCTAGGCTAGCCCCCTTGGCTCTGAAAGACCTGCAGGCTCGGCACCCCCCAGGAGGCTGCACAGTGAGCACCACTTGGTGGTGGTGCCAGCTCTGCGGTGCCTTTGGCTCACACACTAGCATTTGGGGAGGGACTGAATCATCCTGATCTTCCTCCCAAAGCATTGCTCCGTTCAAAGGAGACCCCAGGAGGGACCAGCCTTGGCTCTAAAGTTTGGAAGTTGAAGTGCAGGAAGGATTCAAGTGCTGCAAAGGAAGGGATTGGAGGAATCAGTTGGTGCGCACTCTGTTGTGTGGAAGGTTCATGGCTGAGTGCCTGCAGGGAAGGGCCAGGGTCTCAGAGAGGACTGGGAACTGCGGCAACAGACAGGCAAACAAAGAAATAGCTCCACACAGCCCGACCGCACATCTGCATCACACTGTAGACACAGCGCCCGCATTCAGTGAGTTCCTGTGCTGAGTTAGAGTTTTGGTTCTCAGCTCAGCTTTCCACTTGGTCTTCTGGAGCCTCGACTTCCCCATCTACCCAATGGAGTAGTAACTCCTGTACTTTATATCTCATGCAACTGTCATAGGGAACAAGCAGAAGGATGATGGCGAAAATGCTTTGTAAACACGGTGCCTGGCTGCAGTGCTGGTTCGGTATTGGATAAGTGAATGAATGATTCAGTCTCCAATGAATGTGAACTCCACACAAGCAGAGTTTTTTTCTTCAGCATCGTTTCCCAGGTGATTGACCCCTTGCAGGAGCCCAGTGAATATTTGGAATGAATGAATGAATGATGAGACTTGATCTTTACCTTTAGGAGTGTCTAGGACTTTGGAGGTGATGATACAAACCACAGAGCAATGAATCCAATTGCCTTTGGAGGCATCAAGATCTGGGTGTGAGTCCTGACTCCACCAGCCGGCCTGACAGCAGCTGTTAGGCCAGTTTACCCCTGAGGAGACTCTCAGAGAGACTGAATGACTTACCCACAGCTCCTGGTAAGTGAGGGAATCAGGATGGGAACAACTTGGGATTCTGCCTCCAAAGCCTGAAATTTTCCTTCCATTGAAGGCTCCTGCTATAGCTGCTCCACTGGGACACTGGTCTCTATAGCCATCTACTTGACAAGCTGGAATATGCTTTCTGAGGGAGTTTTCATAATGACATACTATCTCAATGACCCCCTAAGCAGGGGCTGCTGGGAACAATGAGAGGCCAAGGCTATTTCAGGATGTTCCAGGTCCAGAAGTGCGCACACTTGCTCAGGACATCCATGGTCAGATGAGGAAACAGAGGAGGGAGCTGTTGATAGAATTTCCTGACCCTCGGTCTCCGTCATGCCCACCCACAGCCACACCTCCCTTTGGCATCCTGGGCCAGCACTGCCCCTGAGCACTCCCACAGACCCATGTTCCCTCAGTCAGGGACTTGTCATGTCACAGTGGCTCTTCCCCTCCCCAAATGGACTTTCAGCTTTACTGTTCAGTTCACCTTTTTTGGCTGTTATTTTGCTATTTATAGGTGTATCTTTCAAAACAGGATTGTGTGATGGAGTAAGTTTGGGAAAGCTGCGCAGAACATGCTAACCTGGCTGCATATTAATCTTGCGGGACTTCTCAGAGCCTATATTGCACTCACGGAGAAGGTGAATTTCTAAGGCATGGCTAGCTCTGATAAAAAAAAGCATTTCCCAAACTTATTTGGCCTCCAAACCATGTCTTCAGGAGCATCTCTTGGGACTGATGTGCCCCAGGGCACACTTTGGGAATTATGTCTATAGCTGTGGAGAGTCCCAGCAGGCATTTAAGCAGAGCAAGAGGATCTCATCAGGGTTTAGGAAGACTGGGTGGCCTGGAGGAGCCAAGACAGAGGCAATTGACAGCCTGTGCAAGTGGAGCAGTGCCCTCCTGCTACCCAGGCTGCATGCCAATCCTGCACCTCTGGCCTCAGAGAGCTTGCAGTTGAGGAGCTCTCCTCCAGGGAGGAAGATGCTGAGTGCTGCATATGGAACCACAGTTCTGATCCAAGAAGACTCCTGGTGACTTATTCAATTGGCAGCCCAGGGCCTTGGCAGGCTTCCTCTCCTTTCTCTTTTCAAGAATCAATAAGTTATTTGAGATTAGGTCAGGTGGTCCTTTGTTGCCTTTTCACCCTCATTGATGGGGTTGATGGCCTCAGCATTCATCCCCCAAAGTAATGTGGGGTCAGCCTGCCACCTCCCAGGGACATTGAAACTCCAGTCAGGACACTTGGTTCTAAGGTTTCAGTGGCAGTGCCTAGTCCATTTTTAGTCTATCATGTTGTCAAAGGTCCAGTCCCTTGGCACTGAGGACAGCTTAGATTCAGGCAGGCTGGGGGGCAGGACATCCCAGTCTCTGTCCTATCCCGCAGCCACATTGCAGCTCCAGTTCATGGGGAAATGGGCTAATGCAGCAGCCCCATCCTACCCCCCAGGTAGGTCAGGCAGCAACCAGGTGCCCAGAGAAAGTGGACAAGGGCAAAGACTCCCTTCACCATCCCGCCAAAGAGTCAATGTAGGAGACTGTCCGTTCTGCATAAGTCTCCATATCCAGCTTGGATATTCATCCAACTGCCGTGGCTGGTAGGGTCAATTAAACCTCAAATGGACAATGGATTTTTGGTCTTGTCCTCTGACTTGCTGAGATCTTGAAGCTCTCCTCTCCTTGGAGGTCTTCTCTAGGTCTCACAATTCGGAGCATCGGAAAACCACCCTGTCTCCACAGGCCCTAGCCCGTGCTTGCAGGCTGAATTTGCATGGGATTCCCTCCCCCAGTCTTTCCTCTCTTTTTGGAATCAACCCAGGAGACAGGTTGGCTTTTCAAAATAAAATCTGAATGGGTCACTCCTCTCTTCAACAACCTGTTGGCCTGGGGATAAAATCATCCCTAGAATGGCACGAAGAACCATCGGTGTTCAGCTTCCTCCTGCTGTCCAAGCATCTCTCCTGCTTCTGAGCCATCTGAGAATCCAGCCGCCTGAATGTCATTGCAATTGCCTCCGACAGTTCTGAGCCCCGCCCACCCCCGAGCCTTGCACATGCTGTGTTTTCTGCTTGGAGCAGATTCTTCCTGATGATTTACCCAACAAATTCCTATTTGGCTTTCAGTTTCTGGGCTCAATTTCTAACTCCTCTGTTGAGCCCTCCCTGTTTTCCGAGCACTTACATGTAGGTCCCAGGCACTGTGCCAAGCACTCTCTGGGTACCACTGTTTATTTTTCACAACGCCATGAAGTAAGTGTTACAATTTTTCCACCGTACAGATATGGAAACTGAGGCTTGGGGAGGAGAAGCAACTTGCCCATGGTCACAGAGCTGAACAGTCAAGATTCGAGCTCATTTCTTTCTGGTCCCAAGAGCCCGAGCACTCGCCTTCCTCCAGCTCCTGTCCCCATGCAAGTGGCAGCTCACACATCCCCCACTCCCACATCCCCCAGTTAAGTCCCTCTTTCACTATGTGGCTCTCTTGTGCTTGCTTGTCTGGAGTCTCTACACTGCAAGCCCCTCAAAGGCCATGACGATGACGTTGGTATGTGCCTGACAGGAGAGAGGTGTGCGATTAATGGCGGGTGAGGAAGGATGACTGAGTTCGACGGGAGGGCTCTCTTCAGGGTCTCCTCTTGAGCCAACAAAACCCTGATTTATTAGTAATTAATTAGCAGTTAGTTACCTATTGCTGCTGTAACTAATTACCACACACATTCAGTGGCTTAAAAACTATAAATTCCGGTCAGAGGTCAGAAGTCTAAACGGGTCAGTAGGACTGGTTCCTTCTGCAGAGAAGGATCCAGTTCTTTGCCGCTGCTAAGCGTCCAGAGGCTGCCGGCCCTCTTTGGCTCGTGGCCCCTTTCTCACATTGCTCTGAAATCTGCTTCCTTTAACATGTCTGTGACTCTCCTGCCTCCGTCTTTCCCTTATAAGGATCCTTGTATTATACTGAACCTTATAAGGACTGCGCTGACCCAGATAATCCAGGATAATCCTGATGACAAGATCCTTAGCTTAATCACGCCTGCAAAGTCCTTTTGGCCGTGTCAGGTAACATAGTCACAGGTTCCAGGGCTTAGAGCAGGGACATCTTTGGGAGTGGAATTATTCTGCCTACCACACCCTGGAAATTGAGATAAGTTGAATTTGAGGAGGATATGGTTTCCAATGGGTCAATGTGGGAAGAAGAAAGGTTTCTGGAGTCTCAAATGAGACCCCTGTCTGGCCTCAGTTTCCTCATCTGTCATTGGAAGATGCTGAGTGCTGCATATGGAACCACAGTTCTGATCCAAGAAGACTCCTGGTGACTTATTCAATTGGCAGCCCAGGGCCTTGGCAGGCTTCCTCTCCTTTCTCTTTTCAAGAATCAATAAGTTATTTGAGATTAGGTCAGGTGGTCCTTTGTTGCCTTTTCACCCTCATTGATGGGGTTGATGGCCTCAGCATTCATCTCCCAAAGTAATGTGGGGTCAGCCTGCCACCTCCCAGGGACATTGAAACTCCAGTCAGGACACTTGGTTCTAAGGTTTCAGTGGCAGTGCCTAGTCCATTTTTAGTCTATCATGTTGTCAAAGGTCCAGTCCCTTGGCACTGAGGACAGCTTAGATTCAGGCAGGCTGGGGGGCAGGACATCCCAGTCTCTGTCCTATCCCGCAGCCACATTGCAGCTCCAGTTCATGGGGAAATGGGCTAATGCAGCAGCCCCATCCTACCCCCCAGGTAGGTCAGGCAGCAACCAGGTGCCCAGAGAAAGTGGACAAGGGCAAAGACTCCCTTCACCATCCCGCCAAAGAGTCAATGTAGGAGACTGTCCGTTCTGCATAAGTCTCCATATCCAGCTTGGATATTCATCCAACTGCCGTGGCTGGTAGGGTCAATTAAACCTCAAATGGACAATGGATTTTTGGTCTTGTCCTCTGACTTGCTGAGATCTTGAAGCTCTCCTCTCCTTGGAGGTCTTCTCTAGGTCTCACAATTCGGAGCATCGGAAAACCACCCTGTCTCCACAGGCCCTAGCCCGTGCTTGCAGGCTGAATTTGCATGGGATTCCCTCCCCCAGTCTTTCCTCTCTTTTTGGAATCAACCCAGGAGACAGGTTGGCTTTTCAAAATAAAATCTGAATGGGTCACTCCTCTCTTCAACAACCTGTTGGCCTGGGGATAAAATCATCCCTAGAATGGCACGAAGAACCATCGGTGTTCAGCTTCCTCCTGCTGTCCAAGCATCTCTCCTGCTTCTGAGCCATCTGAGAATCCAGCCGCCTGAATGTCATTGCAATTGCCTCCGACAGTTCTGAGCCCCGCCCACCCCCGAGCCTTGCACATGCTGTGTTTTCTGCTTGGAGCAGATTCTTCCTGATGATTTACCCAACAAATTCCTATTTGGCTTTCAGTTTCTGGGCTCAATTTCTAACTCCTCTGTTGAGCCCTCCCTGTTTTCCGAGCACTTACATGTAGGTCCCAGGCACTGTGCCAAGCACTCTCTGGGTACCACTGTTTATTTTTCACAACGCCATGAAGTAAGTGTTACAATTTTTCCACCGTACAGATATGGAAACTGAGGCTTGGGGAGGAGAAGCAACTTGCCCATGGTCACAGAGCTGAACAGTCAAGATTCGAGCTCATTTCTTTCTGGTCCCAAGAGCCCGAGCACTCGCCTTCCTCCAGCTCCTGTCCCCATGCAAGTGGCAGCTCACACATCCCCCACCCCCACATCCCCCAGTTAAGTCCCTCTTTCACTATGTGGCTCTCTTGTGCTTGCTTGTCTGGAGTCTCTCTACACTGCAAGCCCCTCAAAGGCCATGACGATGACGTTGGTATGTGCCTGACAGGAGAGAGGTGTGCGATTAATGGCGGGTGAGGAAGGATGACTGAGTTCGACGGGAGGGCTCTCTTCAGGGTCTCCTCTTGAGCCAACAAAACCCTGATTTATTAGTAATTAATTAGCAGTTAGTTACCTATTGCTGCTGTAACTAATTACCACACACATTCAGTGGCTTAAAAACTATAAATTCCAGTCAGAGGTCAGAAGTCTAAACGGGTCAGTAGGACTGGTTCCTTCTGCAGAGAAGGATCCAGTTCTTTGCCGCTGCTAAGCGTCCAGAGGCTGCCGGCCCTCTTTGGCTCGTGGCCCCTTTCTCACATTGCTCTGAAATCTGCTTCCTTTAACATGTCTGTGACTCTCCTGCCTCCGTCTTTCCCTTATAAGGATCCTTGTATTATACTGAACCTTATAAGGACTGCGCTGACCCAGATAATCCAGGATAATCCTGATGACAAGATCCTTAGCTTAATCACGCCTGCAAAGTCCTTTTGGCCGTGTCAGGTAACATAGTCACAGGTTCCAGGGCTTAGAGCAGGGACATCTTTGGGAGTGGAATTATTCTGCCTACCACACCCTGGAAATTGAGATAAGTTGAATTTGAGGAGGATATGGTTTCCAATGGGTCAATGTGGGAAGAAGAAAGGTTTCTGGAGTCTCAAATGAGACCCCTGTCTGGCCTCAGTTTCCTCATCTGTCATCAGAGGGATGGGACTACAGGGCCCCCAAAGTGTTCTTGGGGGCCATCTGATGAGCCCAAGTATCTACCTCTGCAGCAGCAGGGGCTGAGGTCAGACCACAGGGGACACCCGTCTCCTCCAGCCTTGGCTCTGACTGTCCGGGCCAGGAGTCCTGCTGCTCCCGAGACCAAGGCTGGTGCCAGGCCCCCAGGGACCTCTCCTTTCCCAGTGCCCTAGCCTTCCTCTCCTTGGGGCAGAACAGAGGGCTCCATCTGGGTGGTCTGTGTACCCGCAGAGCCCCCAGAGTCCTCATCATGAGGTGCCTTCAGGGGGCAAAAAGCCAGACTGTAAAAGCTGGTACTGCTTCTCACTTAAAGATTGTTCAGGGAAAAGTTCAGTAATTTAACTGGGAGATAAAGTGTTTTCATATAGGACAACATAGAGATGTTATAGAGTAGAATACAAAATTGGCTACAGTTTTGGAAACAAAACTGGAGAATCCATCGTGGGCCAGCCACTGCGGGAAAAGCTCAAGGAAGCAAAGCAGAGGCCCCAGGGGGCCTTGCAGGGGCCACACCGAGGAGCTGAGAAGGAAAACAGGTGTGTGCTGGGCAGTCAGGAGGGAGCAAGCAGGAGGAATTAAGGGCGAATCTGCGCTGAATGAGCCCGGAGGGGGATGAGGAAGACGCACCTCCCGCTCTTTCTGTCAGCCGCCCCCGCCTCGGCTCTGACCTCCACTGGCTTTTCCTTCAGAGCTTTAACTGGGACCTCGTGCAGGAAAGGCAGATGTTTCCAGATGAGGCCAGATGCTGAGAAACCAGGAGGGGGCTGGCCCCTTTGGGTTTGGAGAGGGTGGAAGATAAAGGAAGGACAGGAAACGAGTGAGGAGGTAGTTGATCCCTAGCCAGGGCCTTTACATACAGGGTCTTGGCTAATTCTCACAGCAACTGAGCAGGCAGGTGCCGGGCCCATTTTTACAGATGAGTCAGCTGAGACTCAGCACGGCCATCTCAGCATCGAAGGGCACCCACTTGTGCACCTCACCCCTTACCACCCCTCCTACACTCTGATGGACAAACCACCTGTCCTCCCCCACGGGCTCCTCTTCCCTTTCCCAGGCTTACCATAGACCCATTCCATTTTTCCAGGCTTGGTCTTGCTTCTCTGTCTTCTTATTACCTCCTCCTCCAGGAAGCCTTCACTCAGCTCTGTCCTACTGGACTGCCTGTCTCTTCAATCTGCCCCCCAAAGTGTGGATCCCACCTACCCCCTCATCAGATCCAGACACTATGAGCTCAGACTGCTTCTTGCATCAAGTCAACTACCTACTCCAAGGTTGAGGGCTGTTCACTTAACAGTCCTTGCGGAGGTGGGGCAGGAGCAGGTTGGTCCCGTGGTAGGCAGGCATGGGGCATGCAGAGAAGTACAAAGGCAGCCGCTGGAGCCCCAGATGAGGTGAGAGTCTTGGCTGTGTCCCCAGCCCCGTAAAGAAAGATGTTAACAGCCACTTAGGGAGCAGTTGAGGGCCGATCAAAGGGATGTGCTGGGAATGGCTCTTTCCAGGTCCTGGGTCAACACTGGCACCTCCTTTTTACCCCTCCAAATGCAGTAATTCCTCCTGGGAGGCTGCCGATTAAAGGGGAGGGGCTTATTCTAGCTCCCTACTTCCCCTTCCACCCCCACCCCTGCTAGGGTCCTCCTCTTCCCCCAGGACACCCAGGGGGCTATTCCTCTCCCCCAGTGGAGAGAGAGAGGGCTGGGGTGCTATCAGCTAGGAGATGAGGAGTAGGGGGAGAGCAGGAGGAAGGGAAGGCCTACCACAACGTGTGCTCCCACTAGTCTGACTGTGAGACTCAAAATCAGTTGGCTCTGCCGGCTGGCTGATTCAAAACCAGAATCTCGGAGAGGCTGGAAGACCTGCTTAGAAGTAGAGAGTAAGGCAACAGAGAGGGGCAGGGGCTGCCGTGGGGAGGAGCCTTAGAAGTCAGACAGACATAAAAAGAAGCCAAGGTCTGGCGGCAGTCACCTGGCGAGAAGGAAGAATCAGAGGCGGTGAACATGTAGGGGTGGCATCTGAGGCTGACAGGAGCCTGGGTGGGACCATGTAATTAGTGCGCCAGGCCCACGACCCTTACAGATGGTCAAGAATAGCCCATTATTTTACAGATGGGGAAAGAGATGCTAAAAGGCAAACAGAGACTTGCTCAAGGTCACACAGCAAGTCGGTGGCAGAGCCAAGACTAGATCCCAGGTCTGGATCTGGGGTTGGGAGGGAGGGAGGCCTTGTCTTCAGTGCCATGAGTCCATTTCAATGTGCAGTAATGAGGTTCTCTTTAATTTGCATCTGCTGACTACTTTCATCACACGTTCTCCCTTGCATTGCGCCTTCCTGAGCTCCAGCCTTCCTGGACCTTGCTCTGTCCACAGTAACCCTGGGGCCAGCCTGGGAGAGGACACAGAAGGATGCCACGCCCTGCCCCATTCATTTCCTGGGAGTCTCCATTCCCTAGGCTTTGCCTTGTCTCCTGCCTCTGGCCAGACCATTGATTTTCACAATTAACTGAATCACAAGAGCTAGAGCCATCCTCTGAGTATATGACTGCCCTGACCTTCTCTCCAGCTGATCCCTCCTTCTTCCAGGAGCCACCTCCCAGGACAGCTGCTCACCTGCTCTGGACAGCACAGCCCCAAGATACAGCCCTTGCTTCTCATTTAAACATCATTCCATTCCTCTGCAGGCAATGGAATCATAAGCAGCAAATTCATGCAATATCAGAGGTGGGAGGATACTTTATAAAATGTTATATGTACTCTACCTGCACCATCACTTAATATTAGGACATTGAGGCCCACAGAATAGAAGTGACTTGTTCAAGGTCTCACACTGTGGTTCAGAATTCAGATTCCCTGACCCCAGTTTGTGTCTGCTGGTCCATGTGGTTGTCTAGATCAGGTACTTGCAGTTCCAGGGGTCACATAGACCATGGCCAACTCCCAGGATTGCCTTCCGGCATGGCTCCTTTAACTGGATGGTTTCAACTTGAGAGTGGGGCCAGAACAGGAAGTCAGATAATAGAGAAGAAAGAGAGAGGGCAGTCCACCCATCTATCAAGCTGTTATTGAATGTCTCTGATGTGCCAGACCCTATCAGGGAGGCAGAACTGAGCAAGCATGGCCCCTGCCTTTCAGGCAAGGAGGGGCAGACACGGGCTGACTGCACCACTAGTGTGGAAGTGCTGGGCTAGCAGTTTGAGAAAAGTGCTTTGGGAGTGCAGAGGAGGGAGCAAATCATCTTGCCTGGGCAGGGCAGGGGCATTTCCTCCAGGAGATGACAAGTGATGGATCTTGGAAGGAGGGGGATAAGTTTGCCAGCTGGAGATGTGGAAAGGGAATGCCTGGCAGAGGTACAGCAGGAGCAAAGGCTACGAGGAATGAAAACCTTGGTACGTCTGGGCAAGGTGAGCAATCCCACCTGGCCAGCAGCTCACAGGTGTTGAAAGGGAAGTGGTCAGAGATGGGTTTAGGAAGGACACTGGGACCACTTAGGGATGCCCTTTACTTCATGCTGTACCTCAAAAGTGATGGGGAGCCAAAAGTTTTAAGGCAGGAAGTGAAGACTGGATTGTATTTGGGGAAGCACTCTGTCAACAATATGGAGGAAGGAATTACGTGTGTGCGTGCCGGAGGTCCTGGAGGCTCACTGGGAGAGTCCTGGGATTGTCCAGGTGAGAGAGGCCCGTGGCCAGAGTCGCACAGCTGTCACACAGCTGAGGAGTAGGGACCCGGTGAGGGCCCATTTTGGAGACTGAGTGGACCAGATTACACACTCCATGCCTGGTTGAACATGAGGGAAGAAAGGGAGGAGGGAGGGGCAGTTCCATGTTGCTTGGGCAGCCAGTGGCTGAAGGCACCTTTCCAGGCTAGAGGAGTAGGCTGGGGAGAGAGGGATAACGAGCTCTGATATCAACACATTGAGTTAGAGGCCCCCGTGGGAAAGCTGGTTAGCAGTGTCAACTAGCCGTTTGGATGAACGTGGCTAAGATCAGGCCAGAATTAGCTGTGTGGCTCATAGTTTATCTACTCAATCACTGAAGTCAGCCAGATCTATAAAATGGAGAAAGTAATCGTGGGGATTAAATGAGACCAAATCATTGGCCAACACTTGTCTCATGGCCTCCAAAGTTCTAGCCACTTCTCCTTCCACCTTCTCTGAATCCCCCACTGCAACCTCTCCCCCAACTCTGATCCTACCTAGAAGTGTCCAGAAAGAGGATATTCCCTTCCTCCTCTGCTGCTGCCCAACATGGACTTGATGCCAACCATTGACCAGTCACCAGAATCCAGCTTTGGGGCTTCAGCCTGCTGCAAATGACATCAACACAGAGACCCCCCACACCCCAGGGCTCAGGGAGGTAGCTCTAGGCACTGGCTAGGCCACCCACTGTTTGGCTAAGCTGGGTCTCTGACAAGCCCCCTTACCTTCTGGGGTCTTCAACTCCCTCCGGAGGGGCAGGTTTGGCTGATAGAGGCTGCCTGGGGTGATCCTTGAAGCTGCATCCAGGGCTCCTATTTCATATGACTTGACAGTCCGGTCTAGCCCTCTGTCCCAGGAGGATAGAGGAAAGGGCCAGGCTGAGGGATCACCCACCAGGTCTTTTCTAAGGTTGAACTAGTCTAGTGGGGCGAGCTGGGGGTGGGGGTGAGAGAGGGACCCTGCTGGGGAGCGTCCAATGCCCTCGTGCCCTGCAAATGACATGCAAATGACCTGAGTGTGACCCTGCCCATCGCAGCTTCCACAGGCTGTGGGTCTGAGAGGGAGGAACTCTGGGGAGGAGGAGGCTGTCCTGAGCGAGGAAGGACCCCCCACTGCCCAGCCAGGACCGGACTTGGGTGGCAGGCGGGGCGAGCTGGCTGCCTAATGGGTTCATGATTCATCGCTGGGCTCTTGTCTGTGCTAATTGGCTTTGCCGGCTGCCTGATTCATGGAGGGAGTCGGGCTCTGGGGGACCCTCGTGTCCCTCCCCCGCCTCTCGCCCAGGATGGCTATGTAAGGCTTTTAGATCCAGGATCTGTTCCAAGGGACTGCTGCCCGGCATCCATCACTGTTGACAGACTGGGGCTCCAGGGAGGGAGCGGGGGCCCTTGCACCAAGCTGCCATCTGATTCTTCCAACCCCACCCCAGCCACAGAGGGGCATCTGAGGGCAGCTGGGCCCAGGCTGGGTCTTAGGGAGCAACAGGGGAAATCCAGGCAGATGTGAGTGGTGAGGGGTGGTTTTCTAGAGAGGGGGAAATAGGATGCATTTGGAAATGGGAAGAACACTGGGGGCAAGAGAAAGCCTTGGGCAAAGGCTTGTAAGCAAGTGAGGGTTGGGCTCAAAGGGAACAGAATCGCGAGAGAGGAGTCTGGTGACTCAAAGCAGAGATCTGTAGCATAGTACTCCAAAGCTTTGTCATAATTTGCCCAGAACATGATGAAAGAGACCAAAGACTTTGAGAAATTGCTGTGTGACCTGTGGTAAGTCACTTAACCCATCTGAGCCTCCACATCTCAGGACCTTTAGTAGAAGACAATCACCCCCAGGCATAGGGCACTCCTGGGGACCTTCTTCTGTCAGTGTTTTGATCCAGGCATCCAAGACCCCTGTGAGTATTCTCTGTCATCCATTTCACTCCACAAAGAGTGTCTACCAGTGCCTACCCTCCTGGGTACAGGGGTTGGTGGGGCCTCCACTCCCTGGACAGGGACACTCTCCCCCTGCCCCCACACTACCATCACCCTCCAGAGCATCTCACTATAGGGAGTTTTCAAGCTCTCTGAAGCCGATAATGCCTCTACCTCACATCTGGGCCGAGGCAGTGTATGCAGTCACACCCACCAGGCTGGAGGGGTGGGCAGCTGTCCTCCCTGACTGTCGGAAACAGGGCAGGACGGGGGGCTGGAAGGAACCTGGCTGGAGCTCAAGAAATACCTCCTGCAGGAATTCATGAATGAGCAACTGTCCTGCAGCCTCTGCAGAGGGAGGCCTGGGCTTGTAGTGGAAGGAGATGAATGGAGAATAGTCCACAGCGAGGCATCGCCAGTCTCTCTGCTGTTCCAGCCAAACACCCAGGCATCGTTCCTCTCTTTGACCCTGTGCCACATCCAGTTGTCAGCAGGGCCTGCTGGCTCTAATTCTAAACCAAACCCATATCAGGCTCTTGTCTGTCTCCACTGCCTCCAGCAGCAGCTGGCTGGACACTGCAACAGCCCGGGTCTGGCCTCCCCTCCCAGCCTCCACTCTGGCACCTGCAATCCTTT